AGATAAAGAAACCGAATCAAGAGGGTTAAACATTTCAAAATTTCCTGCAGATTCGTGAAAGCTAAGCTTCAAACTAATATATAATCGTTCCAATGAATTCGCTATCACCGTGTCAAAGCATCAATTATGTTGGCAAACATTTCATGGCTGTCTAACTTGCTATCACGTCAATTCCAGATCTCATTGTTTGGATTGTTCACATCAGATTTACAGATTAACTTCTGTCAAGAAACGCATGAATGTATGGGAGACTGTTAGCAAGCAAAATGTAAAAGTTACCCAATTGTCAATTTGCCCGGTCATCTCGCTCGAATATAACAAACCAATAATAGCAAAGGAATACATTATATCGGAGAATCGGTAATAGAGATTATTATTATTATTATCCATTACCAACATTTGTTCTATCATTGGTTCGCTTTCCACAGCGTTCCAGGAAACGTTTCAAAAACAAAGTCATTGTATATTGGGATATTTCTCCCATCGTCCAAATGGTGCTTACGCTACCACACAATGAGATAAAAGACGTTATCTGCGTGATATTGAGGAGAATCATAAAACGGACGGGATGGGTACCCTAGAGACTGCATAAAAGGGGGCTTAGAACATTGGTGATAGAAGTGTGTGTACTTGCCAACATAAGTCACTTACATCGACCATTATGCGAATTTCAAGTGCTTAACACACAAACTTTTGTTCGAATCAGACAACCATTTCAAGTCAAATTTTGAATTAAACGTTCGATGGAAGCCTTTATTCAGGAAAAATACTCGATCATGCATAAACTTGAATAACCTAGGTCTTTCCTCTAGAGTCCATATATTTCTTTACAATATTTTCCAGATATCCATCTGCGCCGTCGCCATCGCCTTTAAGCATTCCACTGACGATTTTTTCGACATATTTGCCCAACATGTCAACTTCAATGTTAACCTTATCTCCTATTTTCTTTAACGGGAATATAACGTGTTCCTGAGTGTACGCGACCAACATAATCGTAAACCATGCCTCGGCATCGTTGACATCGATAATCGTAAGGGAAGTTCCGTCAATTGATATGTATCCTTTGGGAATTATGTACTTTATATACGATGGATCTGTCAACGTCAGTTTGATATAGAGTGAGTTGCCATCGGGAGTTTTGGAGGTTATCGTTGCTGTTGTATCGACATGACCCTAAAAATAAATTTCGTATTAAAGTAAAGCGTGAACCAGCGCGCGAGCAGCTCTAAATAAAAGAAATACCTGCACGAAATGACCACCAAATCTTATGCCTGCCGAAACAGCACGCTCGAGATTTACTTTATCACCCACTTTCAACTCCCCTGCATCAGTTTTAGTCAACACACAGGAATTCGTTCAACGACAGAAAAGTCATTGGATGGAGTCTTACCAAGGTTAGTCCGTCGCAAGGTCTCTGGTGCCAAGCCTATTTTGAACCATGATTTCTCAAACTCTGTTACAGTCAAGCAAGTTCCTATATTGTATATTTCATCCAATCTATCCTTAGATAATAATCGATTTCTTTAAACAACTCGTCAAGTTAGATTTTTTTACCGTTA